GATGATGTTCATAGTGATCGTTGAAATTTAAATACCATTGTTAATTTGGTTCAGGTGACCTAACAATTTGCTTCTTCCCTTTTATTTCATTCTGTTTTCTTGATTACTGTCGTGAATATGAGAATACATGGTAGACAGAAATAATTAAATAGGGATATTAGGATGATATTGACAGTGATTGTTAAAATTCGAAACTAAATTTGCAAATAAATATTCAAAAATTGAAGAGGTTAAGGTAAATTCGACTACTATAGTTGTTTCTGCTCGGGTGACCTAAGTTTACTTCTTCTCTCTTATTTTATTTTTGTTCTTGGTTACTTTTGTGAATATGAGCATACATGGCAGACAGTAATAAGAAAAATAGGGATATCAGGTTGTTATTCATAGCGATCATTAAAATTTTAGTACTATAGTTAATTTTGTTCAGGTGACCTAACAATTTGCTTCTTCACTTTTATTTCATTCTGTTTTCTTGATTACTGTCGTGAATATGAGAATACATGGTAGACAGAAATAATTAAATAGGGATATTAGGATGATATTGACAGTGATTGTTAAAATTCGAAACTAAACTTGGAAATAAATATTCAAAAACTGAAAAGGTTAAGGTACATTCGAGTACTATAGTTGTTTCTGCTCGGGTGACCTAAGCTTGCTTCTTCTCTTTTATTTTATTTTTGTTCCTGGTTACTCTTGTGAATATGAGTGTACATGGCAGACAGGAATAAAATTAGGGATATCAGGATGATATTGACAGTGATTATTAAAATTCGAGTCCAAGTTTGAAGAAAGATGTTCAAGAGACGATGAGGTTAAAATAAATTAGAGTAACATAGTTGATTCAGCTCGGGTGACCCCTGGGATGAGGAAATGCGAGATTACGAGAACGATTACAAGGAGGACTCGTGGTCTTGCATTTGAGAAAAAATACGAGCAGGTCCTAGAGCGATCTCAGATTATGAAAATTATTTGTGCCGAGCCGCTAGTTTCGCGCGAAGATCTCGGCTGTCGGATGTTTCCGAGAAGCACACGGCCCCGCTAAAATCGTCAGTGCCCTCGTGGAAGGATGCTAGGAATGCAAAACCTGTGTCTAATCAGATCAACTTTGTCTCGAGATGTTCGTCGTATCAGATCGAGGGTGTAACATTTTACGGCCCAGTATAGTGTCTCTATTTTTAAGACTTTCTACTCGATCTAGGATCGCAAGCATGACAAGGATCTCGCAGATCAAAAATCTCTTATAGTTTAGAGATCACAGAATTACAAAAATAAAATCCCCTGTCAACTATCCTACACGATGTTACTGTTTTGCCATGGTCGAATACGAAATTTTATGCAATCATGGAAAAGAAGGAATATGAAAAGTAAATTTACCGCAAAAATGATTTAATGCTCGCAAAGTATGGAGATAAAATTTTACACCGATTGCGCTAAACGATGATAACGATTTGCATACTTGGTCAGAGGAAATGAAAAGTTTGAAAGAGCATGCAATTACGAAGGAAAAATTTGATACACCGCGGTAATTAGTATTATCAGTTGGCTACACGGAGGACATAATTCGTATCGCTGATAAGTGGAAAAAGGAGGACGAAAGCACCTGTCACGTCGCGAAAGCGAAAAGTCAAGCAGCGGCACACCGGTTCGGAACGTGTTTCGCCTAACTTATACCTAACTGTTCCAAGCTCGAGCTCTCGATATCGATGTATAACACATTTAATCAAGAGCCTGGCCGCTGACTAACGGCACGAATAATCGTTGCGCTCCGCGATCGATCTCTGATCGATCCTCCTTGTGTGTGTAATCATTAATAACGTATCAGTAATGCCATTAATCGTGGTCTCTTAATAAATCCGCTGATCTCGTAACAATAACTTTCCTTTTTTTTATTTTTTTTTCTTCTCATGTTCAAGGAGTGTACATCTCGAGACGATTGCAACCTCGAGAACACGCTGTATACGTAATTCGGTTAATAATTAATAAAAGCAATTCGATTTCTCGTTTACTTGTGTGTCTCGTGCTATTTGTTGTTATTATCGTTGTTTTTTTCTTTATTTATTTATTTTAACATGATATGTGGGCTCGTAATGTGGTATTGGTGTGTGCGCGCTGGACTCAACCATTCCTCTGTTTACCATCAGCTTAATTATTAATTACATTAATGATCTCTCTGCGCCTTTCTCTCATTCCCCGTCCGAGCGCGTCGCGTGGATCACTGCGCGTGCGCACTCGCGACTGATTCCCGCGCGCCTGCGCAGCGAGCTGCGCGCTTGCAGCGCCCCGTGACTCTGTGCCTGCGTGTACGCCGCCGTAATTGCGACGGCCCGCTTGCCGTATCATCCTCTAACGCACGTGTTAAGCATGTCGGACTAACGAGGGAACACAGGTAACCCGGATAATTCAGCCGCTTCTGAAACTTCGCTCATTCGCATACGAGAATAATTCGCGTGAAATGTGTAATAACGTTGCATTCACTGGGCGAATAAATCTATGTTATTTCGTATACCCGTGGCGCTTTTGTCAGCAGATTACCAAGCTTAAGCGTTCGATCGTTTAAGTTCCTGGAAAAGTTTCTTCTCGTCGTTTTTAATTCCCTCCCATCCCTCGGAACCCTGCATTAAGATCCTGCATTCGGTCTCGGATGTAATATTTCGACGTTGGTATTTTAATTTCGTAGCGCGCGAAATTTTACATTTCGAATTTATTCACGGTTATTCTTCATTTGATACGTAATAAATCGGTTGAAATGAAGGAGTCGGGGAAGGATGGACACGGGGGAAAAATTACGGTCGCGTTTACAAAGTAGTGTCCAAAATTTTGTAGGTTTAGTGTAACTGTTTACTAACGAAGCAGATAAATGCAGTGCTCGTCAATTCGATACCGTGTTCCCTTGTACGTTTCGAGTAATTTAGGAACAGCTTTGCGAGGATTAGCGCGATGGTAAATTAGTTTCCGCAATTACAGCATAATCCGTAGCCATAATGCAAGGCTCGTCGTGGACAAGCGTGCGTGGGAAAGTGAAAACTTTTAGGGAACTTACCGATACGAACAACCGTAATTACCATTAGGTTTAATTAAATCCATTCTATGATTTTACTCAGATCTCCGGTTTAGAATTCCTTCGTCACTAGATATATTCATCTCAAAATAACACTTGTTCATCCTCTATAATATACAGACACTTCTATATCGATATTAGGTACTAAAATTAATTGTTGGGACCATTTAAAAGCACCAAGGCTGGATCATTTTTCTAGACCTAACCTGACATTTCATTGTCAAAAATATGTACTTCTTTCGAGTCAATCGTGACACTTGCATCAATTTTCCAAGGAAAATTCATCTCAAAATGACCCTTATCCATCTCCTAAAATATACATACGCTTCTACGACGATATTAGGTACAAAAATCAATTTTTGGACCATTTGGGTAGACTAATATTGGATCACTTCAAACTAGCGAAATTTACTCTTCATCCTAAATGTGTAGTTCTTTTAAATCAACCATAACACTCGTACCTATTTGCCAAGACTCGGTCGCAAAGGGTTAATACTCTCCCATACCGATCACCTGGCATCTGTTGCTGCTGCTCCGACTGAAACGCAACATCGCGTTTCACCTGACCAACAAAGCCGGGAATATCCAGCACACTGTAGAACCTTGCAATCAATCACCCCGAAGAAAGGTCGAACGGTAACCTCGTCTCGGTTAGCCGACCCTTGTGTACGGGAGCATCGCGGATGAAGGAAGTCGGCGACTGTGGCAGTCAGTGATACAGTGATACAATAATATCCCGCGAATACCGGCTTCGGAGAATTAATGGCCACTAAACAGAGCTAACTACCTTAAGGTCCGGCCAGCGTTCGTATTATTTTATAGTTGGCATCCGCTGGGTTTACGAGCGTCAGCGCCGGTGTGCCGGTCGTCGATTGTAGTTGCTCCGTGGCTGGAGGCGGAGGCAGCCATGGCGGAGGGCAGAGGCAAGGTAGCAAGCCGCATGGTCGCGGTGCAAATAACCAGCGTGTCCCTACGGTTAGGCCCCTCTAATGGCATTGGCTAATAACGCGGCGAGAACGGTTTCCAAACGTGAGCCGGAACGATCCTCTTCTTCGCGGATACCGATGATCCCCGTTGATCCTTTCCAGGCTTTCGTTGCCCGTCCACGCGAGACCGGCGATTCTTTTTCGTTATCCGATCGCGAGGGGATCGTCAAGGTCGAATGTCAACATCGCGAACGAGTGGTCAACGAACCCGTCGCCCATTCACTTTTTGCTCGTGCTTCTACGCCGTGATCTCGCCGCCTCGATTTACGACGAATGTTTAGCGAGGAGGGGAAACGAAAAAGGAGAAAAAAGGGGGGGAAAAAAGAAAATAGAAAAAGGGCGGAAAGGATGAAAAAAGGATACGAGGATAGATGTCGTTTTTTGACTTTTTCTCCCTTTTGTCTCCCTCTCTCTCTCTCTCTCTGTTTCTTCGTTCACTTCGCCGAGGAGTAAGGTTAGGTCGAAATCGGGATAATTGAGACAATCGAGATAATCGGACGGG